GCATACACCTTCCGCAAGAAACTTGACATGATCAACTACCAACACCTTTACAGCACAACAGCGGCACTGAACAACTTTTATCCGCTACTGCGTGGCGTCGAGCGTCGGAGGGCGTATTTGAATCTCAACAAGTGGGAACGACAACGCGCACTGATCGAGGAGTATGGTTACTCAAGCCGGAGTCATCTCAAGAAGGCGCGCGGAGAAGGCATTGGCACCAGCTTGAGTGCCGAGACTGAGCTGTATTTAGTTCAGTGGGTTCCGAGCATGCGTAATGAAGGTATCCCCGTGGCTACCATCATGCTGCAATTGAAGGCAAGATAAGTTGCTACTTAGAAGGGTATTTTACCCAATCAATTTCGAGCATCTCAAGTTTGGTGTAACAGTTTTCGAAACCGTCACAGGTTGTCTCTTCGAATGCGCACTCGTCAAGGTCAAGACAAGAAGAAGGAGCTGACGAAGCAGTAGCGTCTTTTCGCAATCGTGTGAAAGAGGTTTGCCCTATATTAGTAGTTACTACTACTATATTATTTATATATGTGTTAAACTGATATCTCTCAAATATTGGGAATGCCTAGATAATGCGAAGCAACAATATATCCAAGGTATATAATGCCGACCAAACCGCTGTTTTCTACGAGTACCTACCAAAGAAGACATCAACGTCAAGGGAAGCAAGACTGTCTGGGTTCGATGCGGCGGGAAGGACAAGGAGCGCGCGACGGCGATGCTTCTCGGGGACTCCGACGACATCAAGTACCCCGTCCTCATTTGTCTGAAGCAACGGGCTCCAAAGGTAGCCGCAACAGTCCAAGCCAACTTGTCGGCTCGCTGTGGATTTGGAGTGCGAGTATTTCCAGAAATGAACCAGCTCGTTTTGATTGGCCTAGCCGGATTTACGGTAACCCGACGGCGTGGTGGAACTCCACTATTAGCGTTGAGTTCTTAAAACACCATTTTGGACCTCGCCCTGACATGCCAAAGAAGGTGCTACTTTTATGGGACGACTTTTCGTGCCACTTCACCGACAACGTCCAGGAATGTGCAGCGTCATTCAATGTCCTGCTCGTAACCCCCCCCCACGTTTTACGTGGTCGTGCCAGCCAGCGGATGTGGCGTGGAACAACCCATTCAAAACACAGTTGCGCCAATTTTGGATCAAGTGCCTCCAGCAATAGCTGCGTGACCACGACAATGAAACTCCATTTCAAATGGTGGCTCCCGACCGCACGCGCATCGTAGAGTGGATCAATCGTGCGTGGAATGCCCTGCCTGCCGCCACGATCATTCAAGGGTTTCGTCGCACTAAACTACTCTACGACGATCTGGATGTCCCCGAAGTCGAACAAGCCGAGTACAGCGACGACGAGTCAGTCAACACGCTTGTATCTCGCCTGACCGATATGGCACTGATGACTAATATAGTAGTAGACGAAGAGGATTCGACCTTTGAATAATACATCTATTAGTTCTCACGTGCATTTAACATGGTGCTCTCGTGAAACTAAATTACTCAGGTCGATGCACAAATATTCGATTCGACCTTTGAATAATACATGTATTACTGTAGTGCTCACGTTCGTTTACATTGTTCTCTATTTACCCGGGTTGATGACACAAACAATATACATGGACACATCAATCATGACATCTCAATATCCACAAAACGGGAACGACAGCACACAACAATGCAGTACATCACAAAATATAGCTCTGAAACGTAGTAAAACGACGCTAAACAGACGCCGACAAACTACACAGCATATGCACAAACACAAACAGTACAGGAAATCATCCTATGAAGCAGCGAGGCATAAACAATGAGATGCAGTGCGTGGACGTACACAACAAAGAAACATATAGGATGAAAGAGGGCGAAATTCGTTGGGACCCACATACCGACGCAGCGCAGGGACTAACACACGACGCAGGACGACAGCATACGGCCGGACGCACACGGAGAACAGAACATGGCCCGGAGCAGTCGGTGTTGTGCCTTATTGTTTCCCTACTTACAGTATCAATAGATAGTAACGTTGTTCTTACCGTGGTTTGTAGGCCTTCGATCCATCTCGCAGTGTGGATCGAAGGCCATATATCTCGCAGTGTGGTCGGTGTCTTGCGGCAAGTGCTTGCCGCATGTATGATGCTCTTAACATCCGCAACATGAACTTCAATCATTCAGTGGGCTACCTCTTTAAATTTTTATAAATTTATACACCTGGGGGCTTCTCTTAACATACGAAGTACGGTAATAGTATTCACTACGGGTAGTCTATTCAATCAATACATTCATACTGCACATGTTCTTCGAAGTATTAACAGAAAATTGTCATTGAATTGACAACTTGGTCTTACAATACTGTACTGACTGACCTTGCCATTGAACATCTGAGTGTGATTATGGCAACGGTACTCCGATGACCTGAGCAGGTACTAGTACCAAACATGTAAATTCGAAATACTGCTGTATACCCACTCTTCCACCAACAATCAAGTTCAGCCACAAAGACCATTGGCATCAAGTTTCTGCACGGTCATAATTCAATATCCCCTCATCCCCAGCAAATGTTTGATTGATTTGAAAAAAGTTGAACTTGGAAATGATTGATCGATACGCTTTTACGAGTTATGATTGGATATAATTTAAGTTTATACCAATAAGAGTGAAAACATTATGTCAATTGAACAAGTTAATATCAAATCAAAACAATCAGATAATTTCTAAAATAGAGTCAGAACGATCGGTCGAGTGATCTCTTGGTCGTCGTCACCCTCATCGTCATCGCAGTTGTTGGTAAAACACAGGCTCTCGATTAAACTCGAGATGGCGGCCATCTCCACATCGCGAGCAACTTCGGCTGCCAAAAGCGAAACGTGCAAGTCGAAGTCTTCATTGTTCATGAGATCCTGGCCGTGCTCAACAACCTCGCGTGGGCATACAATTGAATCAGGTAGCCTGCCTTCCCTCAACAACTTCGCCTTACCTATTCGAGGTTTCTTGTAGAGTTGTTGCCTCCAGCACGAATGACTTTGACCTAGCACGTTTGCAAGGTAGGGAAGTTTGCATTCAAAGTCGCAGGTTCCACATTGTTCCAAGCTGTCAAGGTGGCATCGTTCAAGCCATCAATTGTCGTGCAATGCTTCTTCTCCTGCATGGTTTGTATCGCACGAAAGAAACCCAGATCTAACACATTTAGATCAAGTGAATTGGGAGGTTGGCATACCAGCTGCACGCAGCCATGAGAACGTTGTCGGACGCAAGGACTTGAGGCCGCGCATTGTCCTGCTACAGGTACACACGAGTATTAGTGTTCTGTGGCCACTTTGCCTTGATTGCAGATAAGACGTTGTTGACAAGCATACTGTATCCCGGTAAGCCTCCCGGGTCACAGTCTTGGGGACCGTGACAAGTGTTCCACTTGGTCGGTTGCAGCTTGAACGTTGCGCCGGAACGGTGTCGGTAAAGTGCCATGTCCCAATCTTGCCGCCAAAGCATTAGTTCTTGGAGTGATCTCAGCGAGGACGAGCGACAGCAGAAATGAACATCACTTTGGTGATGAATCGTTTGGATTTGGTATTGAGGTGGGATTTCGCCCGGAAGAAGGTACTATGTTTTCTTCGCACGGATCATATAGAATCATTTCTCATCAGTATGAACATAGTTCATCATGTCATCGACAACAAGACTCGTATTCACGAATCCATTGGCCCACTTGAGCCGTGCTGCTTTATTGGCATCGGTGAGGAGTGGCTTGACGTAGCTCGAATGACGGACAAGGACACGTTTGTAGTACCCATGCAGTGTAGTTGGCGGCATGTTCAGAATAGATGCAATCGCTTTAATCGTTTTTCGATCAGGCTTGGGAATAGTAGCCATTCGTTCTGCAAGGTCCGTGTATTTCTGCTTTCGCCCAGCAACTCCCTTGATACGACTTGATACGTCTTGGCACAGCGTGTTTGATGTTGGGTCAAACTCAGCACTCAGCACGTCGCCACAAACGCGCAATCGTCTGCCAGTTGCAACCAAACATTGCCGCCACACGCTGGTAGGACCCATGCGGAAGCTTCCCACTGGTTGACACTAAGCGTAAGAGGTGGTGGGAGATATCTCATTGCGGTGTCAAGTTCCTTTTCGTTGCAACAGGTTGAGGCATATTGGAGATGGGTTTAATGAGATCAAATCGGTTTTCCTGCTCTAAGTTGCCCAATTTTTCCATTCAAGAGCCAAACGATAGGGCCAATCAAGGCCGACATTTTGGCACTGATTTCGAGGGAAACGGAGCATTATTGCATGCGTTACAGCGAAAATACTAGAGTGATTTTGCTATATATAATTCTTTGTGGAAAAGTCACTGTAAACATCCACACACACTCTGTGTGTGTGGCGTGTCAAAGGTTCCGATACCTTAGTGGAGGTAATGAGTACTTTAGTGAATGGTAGTCAGTAGGCGCCTCGTGGCGTGTTTAACCTCGCTAATGTCAGTGTGTATATTTGCTACCTTGACGAAGGTCCCGTGGCCGAAGGCCAAGAAGAAGCGGGAGACAAAACAAGATATCTTTACTTCAAACAAAGACATCTTTAGTTCATTGTTGAGCTATTCACTGGAGATGGTACGAGAATATTCCTCCGACGAGGAAACGCCAACGAACGCCGAAGAACGATCGCGGTCGTGACCGGATCGAGGAGCCGCGAGGACGCGCCGCTCGGCGCACCGTTGAGAACCCGTTTAGATCTCCCCGACGACGACCGCCACCTGCTGTCGACGAGTGGCAACCGCCACGTGGTGGGTTTTACACCCCTGCCACAACCCGAGGAACACCAGATGTCGCAGCGTTTGTCTCAGCTGCTGGTCCACAAACGACTGAAGCAGATGGCGCTTCAGTACCATTGCCAGCCGACAACGACCCGTCGGACGTGACGATACGGACATGGGCAGCGATGGCGGTTAAGGCCGTACGGCACCGCAAGTTTGGAACCCGCCGGCACTCTCGCAGCCGCCGACATATTCGGGCTCGACCAAGGCCGAAAGAAGCGCTTTTATGCGCGAGTACCAGAAGTATCTGGGGCAGATCAACGCTCTGCAGTGCAATGGATCGCATCCGTTCGCGATGCCCGTGAGTGCCTGCATGGACCCGTTCTCGAAGCGCCGGATCGCGCTGTTCGACTTCAGCCACGACCACCATTCGATCACGAACGATGAGTGGGTCGCGTGGTTGAAGTCAGCGTTTGAGGAAGACCCTCAAGACCTGGACGCTTTGAAGCAACGTCTGCAGCGAGCGATTCGCTTCGATACGAAGATCTTGGACGCGGAGTCCCGCGTCGGTCGTATGCTTGACGAGCTGATGCGCTCGTTGGAACAAGACCATCAGGAGTGGGTACTCCATACTGGCCTACCAGTCCCGAAACGTGGGTGGCTGGTATGAAGACTGTACTCATAACAGCCTTGAGATACTCACTACATCGCACACATACATGCATATCTCTCTATCCCGCCAAAAAGCGCATAGAAGCTCCACGAGGCGGCAAGCCTCATACGCCAAGACGTGACAGCGGCCGGGAAGACGCCGCCAAGAATAATGGCAGAGTCGGTGGAAAGGCCGAAACGATCGTGCCCAAGAATGCCGAGCCCTCAGCCAGGAAGGGCTGCTTGAAGTGCGGTGACATTAGTCACCGTGTGGCGAAGCCGAAACGTTGTTGGCAGCGCAAGTCAAGCGTTCGAAGGATGGCATCAAGGTGCTGGTCAACCAGACGCAGCGCCACAAGACAGAACGCGGCGTGATCTTGGAGAATATCGTCCGCGTGTACGATGTGCTCTTGGGCTCTGGTTCGGACGTGACCGTTGCCACGCGCGGTGTCATGGCCGCGTTGGACGCGGCCGGTGTGAAAGTTGGGATCGTCTCCCATAGCGTGCCGCATATGGCGTACCCGTATGGTAGTGACACCAAGCCAGTTGTGATGACGCGCAGCGTCAAGTTCAACTGCGTGACGCTGGACACGACGTGTGGACCGCTTGTGTTGCGCGGTCTGAGGGCCTGGGTCGACGACGCGTCGACTGCAACCGAAGTCATCGTGAGTCGCCCAGTCATGCAGTTACTAGGCTTCAGCGTGGAAGACCTCCTTGTCGGAGCAAGGAAGAAGAAGGAAGAATGGGACGTTTCGTCCGTGCCGACGAATGAACTGTCCGGCATGGCGAATGTCAAGCGCCTGATGGCGGAGAAGTTGAATCCGCCGGAGCTTGACCCCGACGACGGGATGGAGTGTGCTTCTCCGGAGGTTTATCCCAAAACCTCGGTTGAGGACGAAGCGGAGCGCCGCCGCACGAAGCAGGGCGCCGTTCAAGCCACTCTGACGGCTGCACGACTTATTGGCCAAACACATTGATGTGTTCCGTGAAGACTTGGGCGACGATCCGCCAGTCAAGGTCGAGCCATTGAAGGTTCGGATCAAACCCGGCTCGACGCCGGTGAAGTGTGGGATGCGGTGGTACCCGCCGCTGCATGTGGAGTACATGCACAGCCATGTGGCTGTTCTGGAAGCAAATGGTATGGTATACCAAAACAACCGGGCTACGCGGACCGCAGCCCCAAGGATCGTGCCGAAGAAGGAAGTCAGCGACTTGCGTATGACGATCGATAGCAGGCCGATCAACACCTGCACGGAGCCGATGCCTTAAACGATGCCAAACCTGGACAGCGCGATGGTCTGTCTCTGGTCGGAACGAACGTGTACTTCACGTTGGACTGGACGAAGGGGTACTGGCAGTTGCCGCTGCATGCCAGCCACATGTACTTCGCGTTCATGACGCCCTTCGGCGTGTACACCCCGACCCGCGTACTCAGGGACAGACGGACGCAGTCGCGTACTGCCAGTCGCTTGTCCACCAAATGTTTGGTGAGCTGCTGTTTCGAGGCCTGTTGGCCTGGCTCAATGACTTGGTGGGTTCCGTCAAGTCGACGGACGAGCTCCTCGACTTGTTGGACCAAGTTCTGTCCATCTGTGCCCAGTTCGGACTCAAGTTGAGCCCGAAGAAGTGTCATTTCTTTCTGCGCGAGGCAGAATGGTGTGGCAAGGTGATTTCGGCCGATGGAATCACCCATTCCCCAAGCCGAATTCAAGGACTTGTGGATTTGTCGCCGCCGCCGACCGCGGCCGACCTCCAGCAGTTTGTGTGTGCCACCAACTTGATGCGTGCGAGCATCCCCGGCTACAACCAGCTGGTGGATCCGTTGCGACGTCTGCTCGACGTGGCCACCAAGGTAGCCGGAAGCTGCAAGAAAAACGTCGTTAGTGCGTGTTGCACTCCCTGCCGTGGGATGGTCGTCCGGCCATTTTAAGTGTTGCAACAATGTGAAACACGCGTTGGCGCATGTGGTGCACCTGTCGCACCCGCGAGAAGACATGACGGTCTGCGTCTTCACGGACGCCAGTGAACTGTTTTGGGGTGCGGTCGCCACACAAGTACCGCCAGCGGACCTCTAGAAGACCAGCGGCACCAACCGCTTGCGTTCATCAGTGGGTCGTTTTCTGGCGCGAGTGCGCGTTGGCCCATCGTGGATAAGGAGGCCTATGCCGTGGTCGAGTCGTGCAAGAGACTCGACTACCTGGTTGTACGCCCTGATGGTTTCCGTCTGTTTACGGATCACCGCAACCTGGTGTACATCTTGAACCCAAGTGGCTCGAACGCCAACATGGCCAAGTACCAGGCCGACAAGCTGCAGCGATGGTCGCTGGTGATGTCGACCTTCCCGTACACCATTGAGTGCGTCTCGGGTGACGCGAATGTATGGGGCGACCTCCTGAACCGATGGGGTTCGACTCCGACGGATCAACCAGTTGCGAATGTTCGCAAGTTGATCCATGTGGTGTCGCCCCTGCAACAAGTGGATTTCGAGTGGCCGACAGCCGCTAAGATCAGCGACATCCAACGTTCAACCATGGAAGGGGAGGGACCCCCCCAAACGGCGTGGATTGGGACGACGACTCCCATTTTTACGTGGACCTAGATGGACGAATCTGGATCCCAGACGGTGCTGTTGAACTACAGCAGCGGATTTGTGTGATCGCTCACCAAGGAGCCAGCGGTCACCGTCGCATTGCAGCGACGACCAAGTTGGTGTCCGACAAGTTTGCGTGGAAGACGCTTTCCACTGACGTCGAAGCGTTCGTACGGGCCTGTTTGCACTGCCTGTGCATTGACGGGGAAATGATTCCCAGTCAATTGGGTTCAGCGCTTCACGCGGAGAAGCCGAACGAGCTCATCCATTTCGACTGGTTGTCGATGCCCATAGCCAAGTCTGGCCAAAAACAAGTGCTTGTCGTGAAGGACGACATGAGTGGCTTTGTGCAGCTGTTCGCGGCAGAGTCCGCTGACGCCGCCGCGACCGCTCAGTGCCTGATGACGTGGTTTACCACGTTCGGCTGCGTTGACACATGGGTGTCAGATGGCGGTTCTCACTTCAAGAACGAAGTGATCGAGAAGGTGCGGAAGTTGGTGGGTGCCCACCATCATATCACGACAGCCTACAGTCCTTGGGCGAACGGGACTGTAGAAGTAGTCAACCGACTAGTGCTGCGCGCCGTGAAGGCGCTGCTCAACGAAATGAAGCTGAACGCGGACGCTTCGAACGGTCTTACATGAATGACTTCCTTAAGAAGCTCGACGTCGGGGCACCCCTTAAAGCGGAATGCTGTCCTACGCTTCAGCACGGACTCGGACCACATCGTTGTCGTCCATACACAATGAAATTTAAGTTCTTTGTGAGGTTTTATGACAGTGATTTGTAACCCCTCCCCACCGCGGCTACATTGGGAAGCTTCCCAAGTATGCCCCTTTTGTCCCTGTTGTGTCTCCCGCTTCTTCTTGGCTTTCGGCCAAGGGACCTTCGTCAAGGTAGCAAATATACACACTGACATTAGCGCAGTTCATACATCCAACATAAGTGATACTTCAATGTGGGTCGTTCATCCTTTGAAAGTGCGATACAGTAGCGGATTTTCTGGCAAGAATGTCGGTCACACTGTTGGATATTTATGACACCAAAGACGACTTCATGACAAGACTTGCGTAAGTGCATGTATGTCTGTTGTACGCATCCCAACCATCTATTTGTTTAACTTTGGGTACTTGGTGTGCTAGTGCATTCACAGTCTGACGTTAACTAGTGGATTGACACCAGGGGACTAGATGAAAGGCCATTCATTTTCCAATTTCCATGATGAAGCTCGCACTCCTTCTCGCTTTCACCGTGGCCGTTGCTGCCTTGGCTCAAGACCAAGTTGTCCGCAGCGACGAGGCCCCCGCTTTCGAAATCGTCGGGGGTGTTTTATCTCTCGCTTCATCTTGGCTTTCGGCCACGGGACCTTCGTCAAGGCAGGAAATATACACACACTGACATTAGTGAGGTTAAACACGCCACGAGGCGCCTAATGACTACCATTCACTAAAGTAATCAGTACCTCCACTAAGGTATCGGAACCTTTGACACGCCACACACACAGAGTGTGTGTCTTTGCAATGGGTCAAACTAACGCGCGACCCAATTGCTCTACACGCTGCAGAACACCTTCCCTCCTACGGAAAGTCCAGTGTCTTGATGAGGGCGACCACGGCAGGGTCTTACTTGTTCGACGCCACCCACTTGCGAAATACGACTGGAATGTCGTCGAGCAAATTCGCCGCAGGTTCCCAGGACAATTCTTCATCGTCAAGTCCAAGCCACTTCACCAAAACTTGGTGTTGGCCATCCACGCAGCTCGCTTCGTCCAGGCGCTCCACATGAAATCGGACATGGCCAAACGCGATCTGCGCCTCGAGGTCTTCAGTCACCTCTCTACCACCTTCGTGGTACATCTTCAATCGGCACGCATGATGGACTGTGACTTCATACGGTGGCAACAGCTGCTGAGTCTACATCACATGGTCTGTGATGACTCTGGTCACTTGGCAGGGTCCTCGCCAATGCAGGGCCAATTTTGTCGGATGATTGACGACCGATCCGACAAGCACAAAATCGCCGACCGAAAAACCCGCAAACTTGACTTGGGATTTTCGGTCGCGGCGTCCACGAGCTTGCTGACGCAACTTGTCGCTTCGCACCGCCACGTTGCGGTGCATTTCTTCTAGCGCCACTTGGAGGTCCATCACATGTTTCTGACGGGCGGCGCCAAGCCAGTCCGCGGCGTAAACTTCATTGGACGTCGGGTGGACAAATCCTGCCAGCGGGGTCTTGGCTGGCAGGCCGGTAAACGCTGTCACAGGCGCAATTACTCCCAGCCGGTCCGCCGGCTGATGGTTGAGGGCGCCTTGAACGAGGGGCAACACATGCGGCCATTCGTCCGCTAATTGACCACGTACAACTGGACCTATCACGTTGGAGATGCTCTGTGACCTCTGTCCTGCTCTTCTTGACCTCGCCATGTCAAGAAGCGCAGGACAGAGGTCACAGAGCATCTCCAACGTGATAGGTCCAGTTGTATGTGGTCAATTAGCGTCACTCGACTCGTCGACACAACAGAGAGCCCTTTGTACTAGTGGAATCCGATGTAGAGTGACTATCGATACCGACAGCCAGACCCACAGACGCAGCATGTGTAGTATATATACCTGGTCGCTATGACCAAGCCATAACGGTCAACAGAGCACGAAAACGCAATAACGACTCAATGCTTTTCAAGAACAAACCCTTGCTGTCCTTCGTGAGTCTGGAACAGGCGAGGAGTACGATGAGCGCGAGCAGCTGCTCGGCGCTTGCGTTGTAGCGCTGGGGCGAGATTATCGGGTCGGGAATCTCCAGCAGCACTTTCAATTGATGAATCTCGTTTTTCTTAAAGCGAAAGTGGAAGGTGCACTTTGAATAGCTTTGTGCCATGAGGTTGAATCGGCCGCGAGGTATGTGTATGGCTAGTGTATGCCCTTGGGACTCTTCCAGCAGTAGTGCCATGGTCGACATGAGTATGATCGACTCGTCCATGCCAGCCATGCACTTTGCACAACAAATTTTGATGTAGCAAAATCATTTCAAACAGGATTTTCGTTTCTGGATCCTTCTCGAGTATTCCAGAATTTTCACAGGTAATTTCAAGTAGCAAAATCACTCTACTGAATCGGTTGCATACTTTTTTAATGTTTGGTGTACAATACTTATTGTTTGTATGGTATAGTTTGAATATATGATTTTTCAAATCTGCCATATGTGATCAATTGCCTTGTTTGGGTTTTATATTCAAGTTTGTATCAAACTTTTTGCTGCGAAAAATGTTGGACGAAATGCTCTGAATTAAGCGAAATCACACAAGTTACAACTGCAAAACCCTCAGCTATCACCTGGTATCTTTGGAATGTAATAATTCCTAAAAATGTCTGAGATATCACAAAAAATATAAAACCAATCAATCATTTTCGTAAGGAGGTAGTACTGATTTTGTCTATCTTTTTTTGTATGTTCTTATATATTATCGCAACATACAAACATGTGAATGGTTGTTACTTCTTGACAACCACGAATATGGTTGTTCTGGAATATGCTACGAATCTGCCACACTGCCCTGAGCAACATATCTAAAAAGTAGCTGATTTTGCTCATTTTTGACCTCGTGGCTTAAAAAACACTTTTATCCACTGTCCTTTGTCGCGCACTGTATTCTCACCATTATCACAATATGTAGAGTCAAATGTGTAACATACATCACTCTTGGGGTGTGACTTGAGTTTCGTATCGAATGCTTCCTCCAGTACCTAAATTTACGTGCGAAATTTCAATTGGCGTGAAATATCATGGAGGTTGGGTGAATTGCCGGTAAACTAGGGGTTAGGTGAAATATATCCGCTGTTGGTGGTAATATTTTGAAAAAAAGCTGAAATTACAGGCAAAATGGTGTACTTGAATAATCCTAATGCAATAGGCGGTATAGTATTTTAGTATCGTGCTTTTGCTCCGAACACAACCAAAAAGTCGGCTGAATCCACGAAATGACCGGATTGTTGGTGCGTCCGAACATGGCCTAATAGTATGTATGGATAAGATTGACTGATTTGGTAATTTCGTGCTTTGAACAAGTGTACCTCGGCCAAAATAGGTTATTACCTCGACTATAGGTTTACTTCCAAATAGAGAATTCCATTAGGAACCTGATTTCATTCTTTAGAGAGACCTATTTAGAATATTAATACTAGTCTATAATTTTTTCACTGTGTTTCCGCATTTCCGCATAATGTTTAGGTATAGATAAAGCGACATTTACGACAAATATATCCAACAACTATCTGATTGGTTAGAAGTAGAAGCCTCTTGGCTTTCATTGGCGAATGTCTCTTCCATTTCAATACAACGACCAAGTAAAGTATCTTGGTTTTTTCGAATGTATCGACGTAGAGAGTCCAGCTTGCTGGCGGGGGGGGCAATACACTGTATACGTACTACATACTCCGGAGTATTATAGTACGTTCAATATTACGTGGAGGAATTACATGTACCTTGGGGTTACTTTGCTTTGCGCAACACAAGCCACTCATCAGGCATGCTTACCTCGGGGGAAACGTGTTTTCACGCGTGCTTTTTGGGGGTTTTACTCGTGTTATGAAAAGTGGGGGAATCACGCGTGTTTTCTCAATAACAACTTTACGGAATCGGGGGACTTGCGCGTGTAAATATTTTGACATGCATAAGCTATTTTACTTAACAATTTTGACAGCTAATACAATCTTGCGTCTGTCGGCGATCATCGCCTCCATCTAATCACTCTGTCTCGGCCAATACTGGTCTAAATTCACTCATTCTTCGCCAGTACTGTACATGCATTCGTCGCCTCTTCATCTCTCGGACGCGCTACATGATAGGCGTCAATTATCCGAACAGCCATGACCACCTCTATCTCAGCCAATACTGGTCTAAATTCACTCATTCTTCGCCTGGCCCCACCGCTGAGTGATGTACTGACAAGAAATGCATATATGTTTATATCAATTATAATGAATGTGGTCAAGCAACTACACATCTAAGGCAACCCCGCCTGTCATGTCAACGCCTCCGATGAATGCAGCATGAATCGCACTTGAAACTTTGACGCCGTCGAACCACCGCGAACGTTTTCGCGTTCACCATTGACTTCGAATTGTGCTGCCCAACGCTTCTTCTGTGGAAGGTACGACACCACATTGCCGATGGCAGTGTGGAGGCTCCACACTCTTGAGCTGTTATCTTGATCTTCACACACTTTGAAGTCCTTGCAGCACTTGTAGCCAACAATGCTCAACGGCAACTTTGATATACGCTTCAGTAGGTTTTCTTGCGAGAAAAATTCATCTCGAGTCTC